CAAATCGCCCGCACTGCCAGCCGCTGGGTCTCCAAGACAACGTGCAGGTTGTACATGCATCTCGATGCTTGCTGCTGAAGGGATGTCATGCCGGATGTACTTGTCAAAAGGAGCTCCTCCAAGACGGGCCGTGCACCGTTGGATGTCACAGAGCGGATTGATCTCCAGAATGTCAATGAGGTCTGATGTAGAAAGCCATCTTGAGACCGAGAATGCTTCTTGCATGAGCTGGATGGGCGAGGTTTCATGGAAGAATGTGGAAAGGACAACTGCGGCTTGTCCCTCACTAGGCTTTTGTTCGATCATCAAGTGAGGTGTGTCAATCCTCAAGCCTGCTTGAACTGGTTGTGGATGGATGATCTGAATAAGTGTGTCATCGCCGGGCTGAAAGACGTCCTGCCACAGAGCCATGACCTCTCGTAACCAATGACTTGGATCCTGGGGCAACCGTAGCGCTCGGGGGACTCTACATCGTGAGGATGTCTGGTGGTTGATAAACCATGTCCAGATGTAGATGATAGGGCCCTCTTCAACCGATTCTGTCATCTGGTGGTCATGGAAAATCGCTGCAACATCAACTAGCCATCGATCTCTGTGAAGGCTTTGGGTGCCGCGGATGTCGTCCCGCACATGGGAGCAACTTGTTTGCATAAAGCCAAGGCCATCATGATCTTCCTGTATGGGCTGTTGTGTGATTGTGATCTGAAGACCTTCACCTGGCTGTAGAGGGATAACTTCACCCTCGTGCCAAGGACCCGAGCTGGAATGATATTCACATCGTCGTCGTGTGCACCAGCGTTGGAGACTGAGGATCTCATTCACGTCAAGCGTCTGGACAAAGGCCGGCATCAGCACCGCCAGGCGCCAGAGTCTGCGATGAACTGGATGATCGAAAACTGTAGAAAGCAGAACTGGAACCTGATCAGATTGCCCTTGTACAATCAAAAGGTGTCCTTGTGCTTGGTGTTCGTCATCAGCAGGTGGTTCAGGATTCACGACAAAGACTTGAAAATCATCCAGTGGGTCAATGACGCCAGCCCAAAGATCTTGAAGGTCTCGATGCCAATGACTGGCAAAACGATCAAGTCGCAGAGTCCGAGATTCCATGTTCCGCAGATAACGTTGGTGGTGGAGGTACCAGGTGGTCCAGTATACAACAGGTCCCTCTTCTGGATCTTCACAAATGGAGGACTCAATGTACTGTCGTCGGACTTGAACGATCCATTCAGCACGCAAAGATGATCTCCCGCTCCTGCCTGCTGAATGTTGTGCAACAACTCCAGGGTGTGCGTAGCCAAGGCTAGGATACGACGCACTGTGTTGGAGCAAGGGGAAGGTCTTCTGTCTGTGAAGCCGAGTGCTGCTCTGATACATCTGAAGCCCCTGTGTGGATGACATAGAGCTGGCTGCGGACGTCCTGCTCCTGCTGTACTTGGTTGGGCGTTCTTCCGTCTGACACTCCGTGGTAGTAGATTGTGAAACTGCCTTCTTGCAAATTTGCCGAACAGGTTCTCCAATCACTACACGTAGATAAACACCGTGAAGAAGTTCTCGAAGTCCAAAGTCCAAAGGCTCCCACAAAATGTTATTGTGGTAGATGGTGCAATGGTCTGTCTGATCGCCCAAAACGCAGGAGTTCTGTAATCCAAGCTCCAAAATGAGTCCTTGACGACATAGCTGAGGAGGTAGGAGATGGACTGCACGTTGGGCTCGCTGAGAATTGGTTGTGGGGCAATGCGTCACAATGTCGACCAGGCCAAGCTGATGAGAACTTCCAGGTGGAACATCACCAACGCGCTGTAGAATAATTGCATCTTCCGCAGCATGTTGGTCAACAAGATCGGCCTGCAAAGAGTGGAACCCAATCACAAAGTCACGATGAAGACCAATGGATGCCAAAACGTCCAACAGGACACCAGTGTAGGTCTTCCAGCGGACAAAGCAATGATGAGTTGGTTGTGCTAATCCGAAGATCTGTAGACCTTGCAGGTCTTCTTCATCAAAACTGGAGCTCGAGGCTGTGGAGCTGTCTTCCTCAGATTCCTGATTTTCCGAGTGGGGTGCAGCCAGGTCGTCTGGATCCTCTGGATCTGGAGGAACAGGTGGAACAGAGGCAAATGCTTGAGGCTGTAATGCTCCTGTAGGCATTGATTGCATGGCAAAGTCATCTGTTCCAGGAGCTCCTGTAAGGTCTTGAAAGACTGCTACAAAGGAATGCCCGTTCATCATCCAATGCGTGGGCTGAGGGGTGACAGGAATGGACACTCCTCCATGGAAAACGTCACACGCATGGGAGAGAAGAAGGGAATCCGCAGCCACTCCACGAAGAATCTCAACTCCACTTAGGTGTCTGGGATATGATGCTGCCCATGTGTAGCTGCCTTGTTCATCACTGCCCGGTGGAAAAACAGTAGTGAGGCCTCCACAACGGTCATGAGCTCCCTGGGTGAGAATGAGATCGCCATGCACTTGTGCCTGCCGTAGAGCCCGGACCTCTGGGAAGACAACCGCAATGTTGAGGACTGCATCACTGTGGAGTTGATCCCGCCACTGGTGCAAAACATCCTGATGCCATTGTAGCGGGTCAGGTTGCAGTTCCACAAGGCGGGGAATCTTCCAGATCAGGTTGTGCTCATGATGTATGTACCAGGTCCTCAATCTGTATCTCTCATGTGGCATGAGATTGATCCCTGATTCTTTCCACTTGATCTCCAAGTGATGGAGATATGGAGGAAGGTCTGAGGGCAAACCGGATTGGGTTGGCTGTCCAGACGACTGCGAGGCGTGTGGACTGGCACCTGACGAACCTCTTGTAGGAGACGACTTCTGAGCTCCTGAAGGGCACTGTCGGGGAACGGGCCTTGTGTAGAAATCGTTGATGACAGCAAGGTGTGGTTGGAACTCCGCACCGTCGTCTTCCCCTGAAAGACAAGAACTGATTCATCAAAACGAACTCCAGGCTTAGTGCTTCTCTTCTTGGGTGTCAGTGAAAAAGTGTCCACTCGTAAGGTGTGCCAGTTGCCACATTCTATCGCGAGGTCAAAGGCTTGTTCAGCAGCTCGCCACGGCGACAGAAAGATCGGCTCAGAGAGGATTGTGTGAGTCCATTGACTACACTCATCAAAGGGCCTCTGATGTCCGTACACGTCGGTCACGAAGCATCGGCCTTGGCAAAAGGCTGCAAGTTGGAGTATTTGTCTCCAAATTGCTCCTCTTCTTCTTTGGTGCGTGGTCGTTTCGCCTTTGGTTCCAGCTTTTCGGCTGACTCGGAAAGATCCGACAGGCTGGTGACCACCTGGCGAAGTCCTTCTTGGATCTTCTGGGCATGTTCGTCTCGTGGCAGCTCCTCCTCTTCTCTGATGTCGGGCTCGTCCATGTCGTCGTCTGAGATCTGCAAGACTTCTTCCTTGTCCAGGCCCAGCTTGTCCGCCCTCTTCTTGGCACGATCCACTCGGCGTTGTACCCGTTTGAGGTAGGCTGTGGCCTCTTGCATTCGAGTATGGAAAGAGGACTCTGAGGATTGAAACTGCGCAGTGTACTCTTTCCACTTCACCACTGATTGTTGTAGAAAGATGCGCCACTGCGACCAGAGTTGCATACGCGCCCGTTCTACTTCCATCAAGGACTCCTTTGCAACTCCAAGTTCTTTCACCGCGGCCAACAAGTCGTCTGTGCTCTCTTTGTCGTCTTTCTTCATCTCCTTGTGGACGAGATCTTGAAACTCTGGCGACAAATGATCCTCCTTTTTGGCTGCTTTGACAATCTTGTTGAGCTTGTACTGGGCGCTTTTCTCTTTCTTCTGCTCGTCCAGGACTTCGTCTGGCACATGAGCCTGTGGTGGCGGTGCCATAGCATGATCCCCAGGTGGCACAAAGGGCATCATTGGCGTCACTGGCATAGGATGTTGCAAATTTTGCGGCATCCACGGAACTCCATGTGGTACAGGTGGTCCCACTAGCATCGGCGGAGGCGGAGGGGGAGGAGAGGCCAACTGCATATTCAAATGGTTGAAGCCTTTGCCATAGCCCTTGCCATCCAACATCGGTGGAGCAACTGGTTGATGCATGTTCCACGAAGATCCAGGGTGCCAGGAAGGATTGCTGTGCTCGTTCCTGGTCACAGGATGCGCCTCTGCATATTGCCAAGACTGATTGGCATTCTTCTTCCGAGACTTCTGCCTGGTTCTTTGACGAGGGCTCTTTTCTCGATAAGAGGTATGCCGGCTTGGCCACTGTTGTTCCTGTGCAGCTCGCGGCTGCCCCTGCTGTGCATTGGTAGGGGCTGAGCAAACTTCCCAAGATTGCCCGCACAGGTCGCAGAACCATGCGTTCGGTGACCTCATCTTCCTGCAGGTCCCACAGAGCCACCCCTGCTGTGCGCTCGAAGCCATTGCTGCTTGCAGTCTTCCCAGGAAAGCCCCGTCCTTGGAATGATGCAAAGCTAGGATGGTTCTGATGCGCTTCAGCCGAACTGGTGACAGGAGTGCCCAACCAGTACGGTGGAGGAACCAGGCACGCCTCGCTTTGGCTCTCTGCCTCCGCAAAGCTCTCCGCAGCGTAAGTAATGCCGTTGTCGAAGTTCAGGAGGACCCCAAAGACCAGTGCAAAGATGTAGCCCAGGGGAAAGGTCATACACGTGGAGGACCCTGTAGACGATGTAGAAGGTGCAAGCCCGAGCACCAGCACAAAGACCAGGGAGATGTCAACCACGGTGATGAAGGTCCCAGCAACGGTGGTGCACCTCTGCCCAGGAGGTGCAGAGCACAAGGCTGCCAGCAGCGAGCAAAGTGCAAGAACCGCACAGATGCAAAGCTGCGATGGCGCCCGTGGGTCGTGGACCGCGGACCCACTAAGGTAAACAGGCGGGGGAACTACAGAGCAGACCCCGAGCCAGAACCTTTATAGTATAATATATATATATACATCTAGATCCATCCTATCTACATCTGCTTGTTTATCCCTATCTAATCTAGATGGCATACCCTCTGGAAGCCTGCCCAGTCTGGCGTCTTTGCGGAACTTCCCTGGCCCCCTTGTTCAGAGGAGGCGCGCGCCAATGGATGGGAAACAAAAAAGGATGTTGGGAGGGGTTCCCTAAATGGGAAAGTTAGTTTGATGTTCTTCACTGAGTAGGACTTATGGTGTACCCTCTGGTAATTTAACATAGCTATTGAAAATCACCATTTATACTGTATTTTCCCATGAAAAATGGTGATGTTCCATAGTTATGTTAGTTTACCAGAGGGTAGGACTTATGGTGTATATGTTTGTACTTAGGCGTGCTTTTAGACCAACTTATTACTTGGAAGGCGGGGTGTTTTGGAGGAAAATAATTGGATTTAGCTCACCGAAAATTGGATCTAACCTACCGAAGCTTGAAGGAAATCGGGAATTCACCAGCCAAAATTATGACTTTGCCAAGCACAATATCTACGGATTTAACCAGGCAGAATAGATTTGTTTGAAAATTAGCTACCTACCTCCAATTCCACAGGTTTGGAAAATTATCCCGGTACCATGGGTGTTTAATGCGGGGTTGAAAAGATCATGAAAATTCACTATACTTACTGGTGATGAAGATTGATTGATCCCATATATAACATATAGATACGATTAAAATTGGTTGATCCCATAAACTGCATATATCCAGTCTGAGCTTGTCCGCTCGGATGCACTCTACGTGGCAAAGCCCAGCTCTTGCTTGGTGCACTACAGCGATACCTAGCCAAAGGTGAGATTTTTGGGCCTTTTGGTGCGCACCAGTGCCTTTTTCACTTCGGCATCAGCCGGATTGTGGACCATCATTTCCTGGCCTTTTTGGGCCCTGGCACTGCAGACCCGCGAACCGCCAACCTGCTCATCAAAGAAATCCATATACAGTATATATATTATATATATATATATTATATATATATTATATATATATTATATATATATTATATATATATATTATATATATATTATATATATATTATATATATATTATATATTTTTTTAAACAGATAATAGATATATGATATATGATTCATATATCCATATATATATGTAATTATACAGTGTATATATATATAACTAACCAGTGCATATCTCAGACGGGATCCTTGGGGCCCTGCCCAGCGCCTGGCCATCCTCAACGGCACCTTGGCGCTGGCGCCGGAGCCGGAGCCCGCGGAGCCGGTGCTGGCGCCGGAGGAGACGGCCGGGCCGTGGGATGTGAATGGGAAACCATGGGAAAACCATAGGAAAAACCATAGGAAAACTATAGGAAAACCATAGGAAAATGGTGGTTGAATGGGATTTAATGGGATTTGTTATTGGAATTTCCCCACAAAAATGGAGGTAAACCCTAAAATGGGGATTCCAACATAAACCATATTTACCCTCTGGTAAACGTTAACATATAGCTATTGAAAATGGCCCAATCGAAATAGTTGGTTTACCCATTAATAGCATGGTGATTTTCCATAGTTTTTTGTACGTTTACCAGAGGGTAATGGGATTTAATGGGAGTTCATTGGGAGTAAACATTGAGATTTGATTGGGGATTGTGGCTTCGTTTGAATATTGTCGTGGGTTGTTGAACCAACATGAACCAACGGATTTAGGAAACATTTGTACGTATGATGCTGGGACAATAATGGGATACATATCCAAGCAAAGGATTGTGGGTTTCTCTAAAAATGGGGGTACCGGTACCCCCAACGATGATTTCGACACGCCCCGATGGAGAGCTCAATTTGCAGCTCCGTATGTAAAGATTGGACCGGAGGCTGGGGATTCAGCAGAGATCACAATCGATGAGAACTCTTGAAGGTAAGGAGATACACGGAGCCTCAGAAAAAGGACACGTCTGATCGCAAATCTCACATCTCGTTTTCGCTCCCTGGACAGGAGGGATTAGTGCTAAATGTTGAGTTCAAAGAAGACGACAAGGAGGTATTAGATCGCATCCTTGGAATGTCCGTTGAGGAAGTGCAGCGATCTCTCGTGGCCAAGCTAGAACCGTTGTTAAGGGCGGCGTAGGAAAATTAACATGGATGAACAAGAGGGGGATTACGATTGGGTTCTGTGCAAAGTACACCAAACATTGAAATCTGTGAGTAAAAATGATAAGAACGTGATGATAAACCAATCATTTTATGGCGGATATACTAAGAGGGAAATAATAGGATACCAACTAAGAATAGTATGATGAGACCTCCAAACATTGGGATTTAGCATGATTTAGCCATACTCAACAAATTAATAGTGGATATGGGTGTCCCAAAATATGTTTCTGGAATATCTGGCAGTTTCATGAGAACATGTTTTAGAAGGGCGGTAGAAGGGTAACCTATGTTCAAACAAATCCATACTGATGAAAAATCATGCTCCAGATGGGGGCAATCATCCCAAACATGGCATATCTTTACTTTTATAGTGATTTTTGAATCCAACAACGGGAAGAACACGGTGGGTTTCCTCAAAAAATTTAAGACCCCTACATCCAAGTCGTTGGTTATGGGAAAACCCACCATGAGGAGCCGAAATCGGCCGAGCCCTCCACACCCATGGTGGGCTTGTCGCCGGGGGCCACAAGGGGCGAAACCCGAAACGTCGCAGCTGGAGTGGAAAGAATCAAACACATGAGATTTTTCAGGGATACATTACAGTATATTATGTTAATAACTATAGACCATATAATGTATATATATATATATATATGTATATGTATATATATATATATACATATATACATATACATATATATATATGTATGTGTATATATATATACATATAAATGGAACCCTGTGTTTGTTCGCGATATTTCCAAGTAGCAACAGAAACAGTTAGAATGATTCAACTATATAGGAAGAACGGCGGCCCAGGAATCAGGACAAGTGGCTTAAAAATCCAACGAATCGTAATCCATCTGGCCTTGAATTCATTGGATGGTTGACACATGATTTCAGATAGTATTATAAAATAATAACATATTAATATAAGATACACATATATATATGTTGATTCAAGAAATATGTTGAGACATTCAACATGATTCAAGCATATTCAACCCTTTTTGCTTCCCAAAGTCACCGGCTTTGAGCCTATTTTTCTTCAGTCGGACCGGCGTTTCGCCAGGTTGGGTGAAGGTCCAAAAGCCAAAAACGTCTTGGACACCTCCGACTTTGACTTCGAGGCCATTGAAATGGCCTTACCATCTGGTTATTTAACATAGCCATGGAAAATGGCCCATTTATAGATAGTTTACCTATTAAAGATGGTGATTTTCCATGGCTATGTTAAATAACCAAATGGTAGATCCTTGAACAAATGTTGATTTAACCCACAAACATTGGGATTTGACCATGGAAAACATGGTGATTTTTTGCCAACATCATATGGAGGATTCAAGCAACGGTTAAATGAGGAGGTCGCCACCAAGAAAAATTGGGATCATTCGGGATCCAACCGTTATGGTGCAATGGTGGTGTAATGGAGATATTGTGGGATATATCAAGTAATATGTTATGTTATTGCCATTACTGGTGGTTCCATACAATTTGGTGCCCCCAAATATGGTGATATGTAATGGATACTGGTGGTTCCATACAATTTGGTGCCCCCCAGTTATGTTATGTTGTCTCCCCCGCGCATGAATTCTTGGGCACCAGTTTTTGTTTTGGTGCAAGGACTCATTTGTGTTCGCAGCAATCAAACGTTCTGTCACAATTAATTCTTGAGCGTTTAATGACAAATCCAAAAAGTTCTTTTCCAGGTTCTTGATTGTTTAACTTTTCTATGTATAAGAATGTATAAGATATATACTGATAGTTGTTTATATATAGAGTACCATGTAACATATTACATAAGATACCAATTCAATATGATATAGAAGTTCTATAATGTACACAATACATCATAATACCAATATAATACCTATTTACAGTACAATCGGAAGACTGTTCAAAACCCCTTGTTGAGCCATACTATCCAACATATTGGTGATTGTCATCCATTATGGGACTCCCATTCTGAATCAACCAGAATTTTATGTAATGACATTTTCGGGTAGACCCATCAATATCACAATATCACTTCGTGATTCGTTTTTTTTTTCCCGGATCAATTCCATTAGTATAGGCTTTTGCACACTGCTCAGGAGAAGACTCTAGAAGCGAAGCTGAAGGTCCCAACCAAGGTGGAACCCACTGAAGAGGCCCATCCACTTGGTGATTCAACGGTTAAGAAAGTGGAAAATTACCATTGAAATGAGAGTTACAGTAAATTATAGTTAAATGATAGTTAAATGATTATAAATGGTGATCATCTATAATTGGGTCATCTATAAATGTTACATCTCATCTATAATTGTGCAATACTGTGATCATCTACTATAATGTTGATCATCCATAAATGATTATAAATTGGGCCATGTTCCATCGCTATCTTGATAACCAGTGCTATTTTTTAGTTTTGTTCTGGCCGGAGCATGCCTTGCTGGTGCTCTTGCCATGGCTGACCGCATATTTTGCAGAGGGGTTGAAAACACCAACCAGTGCACTATATGCATGGTCTTGGTACCTTTTCGGGGTTCCCCCATTGCATCATTTTTATAAACACTCGGCGATTTGGGTTGTTTTCCCTATGACGCGATCAAGCATTGTGATTTGATGTGATTTGGTCATGTCCCATTATATCCCATTAAACCCATAAAATCATTATATCCCATTTCACCAACCATATTAAACCCAATTAAATCCCATGAAATGCTTGGTGAAAGCCTCATTCAGTCGATCTGTCGATCTGTCGCCCCAGGATGAAAAACGCGTTTTTCATGGGTTGAATCCTGATCGTTGATGCTCATAATGTCAATGTTTCGGCTGGTTCTTTCCCCACTGTACCATATAGATCCATAGAAAGGGCTTCCCAAAAAGATGTCGAACTTGGTGGTTTCCAGGATAGGTATGGATTATGGATCGTTTTCTAGATTATACCTCATAATTCCCAGGTGTCCAACTTGTTCATCTACTTGGCTGGTATATCCCATCACCAATCTATCCCACTGTATCCGTTTTTTTCCATGGTTAAATCTCAAAGTTGGGCTGACCTTGGAACACCTCCCATTACTCCGTAGGTGCGGCCGAAAATGGCCAAGGTGGAGCCTGTGGAGGTGGGAAATGGGATGCTTCACCAACCAATTGGAATTTTACCATGATAAAGAAGCGATGTAACCAGAAATGGGGCTTTGAATTGTGGTTTAATGATGTTTAATGGGATTTAAAAACGGTGACTTGGATGGCCTTCGGTGGTGATTGAATGGGATTTGAATGAGCCATGGATCTGCGATGGCTTATCCCCTAGACATATCTATAAATGGATGTTTTATATGTGAAAATCATCTAAAATTATAAACGTCAATGGAAGTTTAGGGTGATCGGATATGGGATTTCATGGAGACGGGAGACTGCAAACTGGACATCCAGAGGGAATCTGTGGTCAGCATGCGGTGCCGAAACCGTAAATCCACAAAAGTTGGGAAGTAACTAATATAACCATATACATACCATTGCTCTGGAGCTTAGTGTTTTTAACTATGGGGGACTTAACATGAAATTTAATGGGATTTAATGGAAAACGACTAACACGGAGGACTTCACAATGGATAATATGGAATTCACCAACCACAACCCCATGGGATTTATATAATGGGATTAACCAACGGAATAATAGATTTTTTGGAACAAAAGAAATACCATTATCCTGTATGATTTATAATATGGAATTGTACATACCATTGTCGTGGTTCGTATTTGTTCCAATGTTAAGCAGTTGCGGCACCAGTGTACCTCCAGTAAGTAAGTATTATAATGACGGAGAACCTACCATTTATAGAGCATTGCGCGTGAGAACCATTGTTTTACCATATATGTTTTAATTCACTAGAAGTGTATTAGATCTATGCCGATATGTTGCTTTTAATTCTTACACCTCGATGGGCTAGTCACCCGGAAGAAATCCTAGGCAAATTAGTTTAATGCCCATGCTATGTTTCCATATGGTTCCTATGTTTCTGAATCCTTTAGGTTCATTCAGTGAAAATTCAATTGGATAGGCCAACGGTGTGGTTTACATCAAAAGATTAAAATAAATATGTATGTACTGTGTTACTGTATATATATATATATAGAATTATAGAGATCCTCCTTGAATAATGAATTGAGTAATGGCCATCATCCTAGCATTATCTCATAATTCATCATTTATCTGGCCAAATCATAACGATCTCACTGCGACCTCACTGAAATGACGATAAATTAGTAGGGATAACTATCCCAAAATCGCCGAACTTTTCAGGCGAGTGAGCTATGGCACTTTATATACTCAGATTTATTGTACTCTTGGGTTTACATTCAAGGAATCCCCTGCTAGAAGTTGAGTTGTGGCATCCAGGGTGCACCACGGAACAAAAATGCCCCGCAGGCACCCCCTGCAGTGCTTTCCACAGCAGGAACGGCTGAGGACCATGGGGGCGGTCCCGTTGTGGCTTTGGGATTGGTGGGGGCACAATGGTACATTAAAGATACATCAAAAATCATCAAAATACCATTGTTCATGGGGTTATTGTAGGGAGTTATACTATATACCTAAGCTATTGACGGCTGAGATTCGAGAGCCTTGGAAAAAGCCAGGCCGTGACCGAAGCCCCTCCGGTGGCGCCAGAGGATATGGGACCATGGGATGTGTTGCCTTAGCGGTCCACCGGCGGGGTGGAAGTAATTTAGACTCAGGCGACCACAAGAGTTTGGTAGATTTAGTCTTTGAGCATATTGTGTTGTTTTTGGGGTGCAAAATTTGGACCTACATCTACACATGCGGCCACTTAATTTGAATCAAGCAAAATTGAGGCCGGATTTCCCCATAGGATCCCATCAGTATACTCGGCGATCGCGGTTTTATACAGCATTGCTGCAAAGCGGGATGTTCCGTTGGTGGCATCCACATGGTTGTGGCTTCTCTCCCCTCACTCATGCTAGCACTCATGCTAGCTTGGCAAAGGGGTGGGAACAACATATCAGACCACATTTGATATCAACTTTATGGTGGGGTATTTGTGGGAATTTGTCAAATAATTGACCCCCAAGAATGATACGTTCAAGGTCCCAAAAGAAAGACAAGAATAGTTTTGTTGCTCCATGACAATTACCTCAATTTCAACCCAATCCGACGAAAGTTAGCCATGACTGTTGCTCTCTTGCTGATTCACCTCCACCTCTGTGCATCACAGAACGATAAGGTGCTGATCATTCTTCAAAGCGGATCGGAGGTATGGTCAAGAAATAGCAATCATCTCTTCCGAACTTCCCAGAATAACGTCTTTTAGATGAATTAAGGTCAAATTGTGAAGAAAACCATTGTCACTGAGAAAAAAAAACCTTGCTTTCCAGTTGCCATAATTCGGCTGTCCCTGAAAACCAGGAACACTTCTGTCAAAATGCCAAAAGATTACCATGTTTGGCTGGCACCAGGAGCCAGTGGAGCCAGGAAACTCCGCGGCGCAAGCGCCCGCGCCTGTGCCTGCGGTACCCGTGAAGGTGGAGGCAGTCCCAGCCATCCAAAATAGCACTGGGCTTACAATGGGGATTCTATGGGCAATATATATATATAGAGTTATATAGTTATAAATATATATATAGAGATATAGATATACAATATATAATATATATATATATACATGAATATTCTATTCCAATGAAATAGTATGAAATAGTCATGTATTTCATGGGATTAACCATTAAAAATTGGATTTATTGGGATTATACATATGACATCCATGCGCCATCCAAAATACCCTAATTGACTGAGTTATACTACCTAGGTTATTGGGGGGATGATTACGAGCTACATTGCGGAAACCAATCAACCAGTCTAATGAGATGCGCTAGGGGTATTTTTCATGGCCTAATTGGAGGCCATAGATGTTATTTTCCTACTAGTTGGTTGCTTAATAGAGCGATTAACCACTTTTTACGACTCATAGTTAAGATACATATGGTTTCAACATATGGTATACCGGTATACCAGGCCCCTCGATTGGCCTTGGGAAAACCTCCAAAACAGTAACCAACCCAAATAGTGGTTTATTAAAAATTGGTGCCGTATTTTTGACTCTAAAAAAAACCTAGATATCACTGTGGCTATTGAAATGGCTCTCCACGAATGAAATTGGGCTTGAAAAGGGCTGATACCTCAATCGCGCAAATATGTTCATTTAATATTATTTCATAGGGATTGATAAACCCTCAAATTTTGCTGGGTATCCTATTCTCAGACAAACACGATAGTTTTGAATATTTCGTCAATTGGTTGATATTGCTCGTTGCTTGGTATTTCTTCTGTGGCTCGAGGGATCACCCAGCATTCTTGGATTCCATGTCCTTTTCTTGGTGCTTAGATGAACCAAGTTGGTGGATTTCAAAGGTCGGCAGAGCAACGTACAATTTCAAGATCACTAATCATGGTCCCTTTGCAAGCCTTTGCCAATCTTTGCTCCATGTTGCAGGTGGCAATCCATGCTTACATGAATTTACATGATGTTGTTCAAATGTTCCATTCAATATCATTCAATAGTGATTTTTGTGCCGGAAGACTTTTTTCTCTCAGAGCTTTTTAATTTTTTACGGGCACCCCTTGACAAAGCCAACGCTGGCACGCCAGGAGGCCGAAACGGGAAAAACGACATGAAATTGTGAAGCACAATCAAAATCTTTCCGAAAAATATGTATATATATATATAAATCAATAGATGCAAATTTTAATGCAATTAAAGTTTATTATATGTGTTAATGATAAATTAAAATATAAATTAAGATATTTAATCATTGATAGATTAATAATTCAAGTACCGCACAAGGCGGTGGCGGAAGTTTCAAAGATAGGAAACCTATAGGAGAGGTTGGTTGTTGTGAATCATGGATGGCAGAACAGAAAGGTGGTTGGAGTGTCGGGCTATATCTATCTATTTATCTATCTATCTATCTATCTGTCTGTCTGTCTGTCTGTCTATCTGTCTATCTGTCTATCTGTCTATCTGTCTATTTGTCTATCTGTCTGTTTGTTTGTTTATCTATGTGTTTGTTTGTCTGTCTGTTTATCTGTCTGTCTGTCTATTAATTTATTTATCTAGTTATCTGTCTATATGTTTATGTATTAATTTGTCTAGATTCTTATTTATTTCTCTGTTTATTTCTCTATTGATTTTTTTAATTTATGTTTTTTATTTTTTTGTTTATT